TTTTCTCACAGTGTAAACATTTTCAATGAGGTGTAATGGTTATTATTAGGTGTTTGGTATGGATACCATCCTAACTGGAAGGACTAAGGCTACCCATGGACATTACAGGGTATTCAAATGTTCAGGCATCTAAGCATCCCCAGGGCAGTAACTCTCCCAGTTAGGCAGTGTCTTGTTTGCAACCAAAGGCCTTTGTCACTCTTTCCTTTCAAAAGTCTTTTAGTCATTATTTACATATCAAGTAAAAAATATACTAATTATTTAGGAAAATTATTTATATTGCTGTATGACTCGCATCCACTTTCTAAATTGTGGCATTGTGTCCTTACAAGCATTTGTATAAAGCAAAATGAAGTGAAGTATGCACAAGTATGTTAATCATCTTTTATTGGTGCAGCACGCCTTTTTTATGTTTTATTATGTCTATCAGTTAAGTACATGTAAATGTGTTGCCCGCCTATTAATTCTTTATCGTTTTCCATCACTAAGAGTTTGTAAAGAGCATGTTTTTTGATGAAATATTTTCTAGTAAAAATATTGCTCTATCCCATTTCATAAAGTTGGTGTAGATCTGCTAACAAATTGCAATCATAACAAAAGAACAAGAAACAAGAGAAAGCTAGCCACACTTCAAATCAAATTCTGCTGGTATAGTTGTAGATTACATCATCACTGGTGTCCCACCCAGGGTCCACCTTCTCTCATATGTTTCACCATTAATGGGCTTGATCGTAGCTACGATTACACCCATAATTCAGCTCATCGTTTGGGTGAAACGTGTCAGTCTGGACGGACCTTGGGGCGGGACACCAGTGACGTTGTTTGATCTGCAATAAAATATTCCAGTGAAATTCAGAGTGCGGACACTTTGCTTTCTATTGTGAATGTTTTAAGTATGTTATGCACATAATACATTATTCTACAAGGTGTATACATGTATGTTTAAAGTGGACCTACCTACAATGTAGCATGAATAGGTTCCTGACATATTCCATGCACACTACATAGCAACAGTATAATCTAAAAAGAAAAGAAAGTTCTATCTTTTAAATTAAAAAAACAGCTCTTGAACTCCACTCAAAAGACTTTGCATAGGCTGGGTTGATGTCATAATTTTGCTGTAGCCAGAAGGAAGCATTTCCTCCCCCGTGGATCAGTCAGACTAAAACACTGTAACTTTGTAACAAGTTACCAGGTGAGAAGCTGCAGCAGATGTTGATCTGTGTCAGACATCGTAAACACAGCCAGGAAATGCACAGGCACCATGATTTACATGATTGTGTCACCTCTGAACCAGCATCTCAGTTCAGGAAGTAGTGGCTGAGTCTTGATAATGTTTGAACAAACATGGCATCAACCTTCTAGAGAAAAAAAAAGCAGATGAAGGTATTGTTGATGAGTGTGTTGTGTTTTTATGAACGGTAATAAATAGCTGGAAGTGTTAAACTTACACATTACTTAGCATGCATTCAGCAAGAAAAAAGATAGCTGATGCTAAGTCTACTCTAACATCTGTTTGCCAAAGCAAGAAATTAACCTTGCGCGCACGCAATTTTAAGGCTTGACATGTTTAGTGTCTTTTTACCCGACGTGACCCCATCTTTTATATTTTACCAAAAAATTGGGTAATAATAAATGTTTTATCATTTAATATAGGGGAAACTGTTTTTTTTTTTTAAATTTCGGTAATTTTTCCTTAATATAGTAAAAAAATAAAACCCCCAGTGGTGAATAAATACCACCAAAAGAAAGCTCTATCTGTCCCCAAAAAAGGGTATAAAATTCATTTCAGTACAGCGCTGCATGACGGAATAAATGTCAGTCAAAGTACCGCAGCGCTGAATACTGAAAAATGGCCTGGATGGGAAGGGGGTTTAACACCGCGGATGTCAACTGGTTAATTTGGATTTGGCTAAACTTCTCTTTTGTCCTTCATCAAATATTTGGAGCATGTTAATAAAACCTATCCAGTCCTATTCCACTGTCAGGTATCAGCTCAATGCTTCCAGGCTGTGTTCAGGAGGTTGTAAACCATGGCTGGAAATACAATCCTGTTTATTGCTCCACATACATTATTCTTTATCTTTTCCATGTGCTTTGACTTAATGTTATCCCATGGGCAATTTGCCATATTTCCTGAGCCAAAGCTAATATGGTTCTGTATTACTTGACACATTTTCCTCTTTAAATTAGGAAAATGATAATGGCGATGAAGGAATCCTCTTTTTCTTTGTTCCACAGAAGTTGGATTGGATTCAGCCACCATATGCTAAGTGGCTGCCCTCACTTTTAGTATTAAGAATCATGAAAACAAACAATATCCTCATTAATCCCAACTGGGAAATAATCATCTATCTGAACTGATACCATCAAAAATAGTTCCCATGGAGACTCCAAATTACAAACATGCAGCAACATGTGTTCCATATTTATAGGAAACTAGAAAATAAGTGGGAGCCAGCACAAATGTTTTAGCTTATTGGTAAGTGTTCTTATGCCAAGCTGGTGTTTCTAATATGATAGCTGTAAAGACATAAGCTATGGTACAGAATTGGACAACATTTCAAGCTCATAGGGTTTGTTTGTTTTTTTCATGCAGCATTGGTCTTTTTGATATGCTGCCTTCGGATATATTCTGTCACTTTTCATCCTAAATACTGGTTGTAATACTCAGCGAGGGAATACTGATAGTTTCCTGGATTGCAGCTTTAAAGATTGGCTTCATTCTTAAAGGGAAAATGGCCTTCAAGTAAGCCTGTACTGAGAGAGTATGGAAGCTGCATGCAGGGTTGTCCCTAGCCTTTTCACTGGGGTGCTGGTGGTATATACTAACCTGCGGGGCCTCTGCATCATCTCCCCGCCTAGGTCTGGTACTCTCAGGCATCCCTCCCAGCTCCTGGCAACCAGTGACGTCACTGGAAAAAAAATCTTACAGTGGATTACTGCACAAATCTGGACGAAATAGATAAAATCACACAAAGATTCATATAAGAATACACATGCCTTTTGCATTTACACAACATTTGCTGATCCCAAAGAACAACTGTAAAGTGGGCCTATTATTATTTATTACAGGCATTTCTATTGCACCACCAATTTACGCAGCGCTTTACATGCTGCATGTTGACAGCAGTCCCTGCACTCAAAGAGCTTACAATCTAAGGTCCCCATGTCACATGCACACACATACTAAGGGCAATTTAGACAGGAGCCATTTAACCTACCAGCATGTCTTTGGAGCGTAGGATGAAAATAGAGTACCTGGAGGAAAACCATGCAAGCACAGGAAGAACATGCAAACTCCATGCAGATAATGTCCTGACTGACATTTGAACTAAGGACACCAGTGCTATATGGTTGAAACATTATGCAAAATGTCCCAAAACACATTCATATGTCGCAAGAACACTTAAAAAAGACGTATAACAGAAATAAAACTCTGCAGTTAGTTAGCATATTTTGGTCTTTGTGCCTAAACATTTTGTTGCAAATGCGTAAATTTCCCCCATTGTGCTATGTTTTTTTGTTGCTAAGTTATTTGAAGAGCTTTTAAGGGTCCAATTATGATGTATATGATAGAAAAAAACATGCTGTATGTAACCTTTGCTAAAGCATTTTACAATTGTTCCCATAGCTGCCCAGTCTGTCAATTAAAGAGTTGATCATTTATTTATTTAAAAGAAACTGGAGAGAATGGAATGATCCCAGCCTCCAACCTACAAAGCAGACAAGGTAAATGTTTGTGGAGGAAATGCATAGATCAGGGTATATGGATCCATTGGATGGGCCTCAATAGGACAATCTCCTATTGATGACCATCCAGGCTTAAGTAGACTGCATCAGTATAACACAGTAAATTCTGCCATTCACAGACTAGGACCTTTAAGTCAGACATGGCAATCTGTGTAAAGGCCTCAGTGAAACCACATGGCTAGTCCCTAGGCTTCAGGCCTAGCCATCTCAGACAGTCCATAGCAGCCTCCCCCTAGGTTGCTATGGACAGGCAGATTGTACTTGCGATCATCGCAAGCCCGCCCCGCTGTGGGGCGGGCTTCCGATGACTGCAAAGCTGAACGTGCAGTGTGGTGTGCGCACAACGGCCCGTTCAGCAGTTGTCGAACAAGCAGGCCTCTAACCCGCTGAGAATAGTACGATTCTCGTCAGGTTTTCTCTTAGTACCAAATGAGCATTGTTTCAATGTCACAGCCTACCAGAGTATTGTTGCTGACCATTATGTTATGACCAGTGTATCCATCTTCTGACAGCTACTTCCAGCGGGATAATGTGCCATGTCACAAAGCTATAATCATCTCAGACTGGTTTCTTGAACAGGATTATGAGTTCACTGTACACCAATGGCCTCCAGTTACCAGATCTCAACACAATAGAGCACCTTTGGGATGTGGTGAAACAGGAGATTCCCATCATGAATGTGCAACCTACAAATCTACAGCAACTGTATGATGCGATCATGTCAAGATGGACCAAACTCTCTAAGGAATGTTTCCAGCACCTTGTTGAAGCTATGCCACAAAAAAATAAGGCAGTTCTGAAGACAAAATGGGGTCCAACCTGGTACTAGCAATGTGTACCTAATAAAGGGGCCAGTGCATGTATAAACATCTAACCAGAAGAGAAAATAGCCTAACAGTCAATGTTGACCCATACTTACAACAGCTGGTTAATTCACAGTGCATTAACACACGTTACTGCACTGATGTACATGGGTCTTTACAGATTTTAACATTTTGGAATGCTTTTCTCTTATGCACAAGTCAATTAACAGAAATGCTCTGGTCAAAAGGCTATATATAGGTCTCCATTATAGGACTGGTGTGTGAAGATTTCTAAAGTATTAAAAAAAAACTTCACATCAAAAAGTAGCCATTTGTCTAGCTCTGTCAATATCAATCTCTTATTTTGACAGGCATCAGCCCATTTCATCATACCAAGCACACAACAATCAGGTAGAACAGCAAATAAGTTTTAACCACACACTGTACAAGGAGAACTTTTAATGTTGTGCATAATTTTTTTGGGTATTTTACTTTTTGCCGATTGTCCATCTGTCCATTCATCCAAAGTATATAAGTGGTACATACACAATAGTCCTAACAGTTCAATTATATGCCATGCCTTCTTAAAAAAACAAAAAAAAAACCCCAGAGGATGTGTTCTCAAGCTCTGTCATGCCAGCTTTATAGCAGAATAACTCTTACTGAATATTTTGCTACGGGGGATGAAAGAAAAACAGTGCAAAACCCTTCTCCCAGTTATCACATCAAGCAGCTTGTATGGATATGGGTTGAGTTGGCATAAGTGTTCATTTAGGAGAATAACAGGGTAAATGAGCTGACAGCCAGAAGAGGTTGCACAATTTCATCAGACATGGAAATTAAGTAATCACTGAAAAAATGTTACTTAAAACACAGCAAGTGGGCTCCATCAAAACCAAAAAAACATGCAACAGTTGTTTTAAAACCTTTACTGCAATGTAAAAATTGAAGAGAATGAGCAATTAGAAAGCTATCCATTTCAATTAACGGCAAGAAAAAAAATAATATATATATATATATATATATACTGTTTTGTCAGCCAGAACAGAAAGTGGCTACTTCACACCCAATGATCAGGGATTTACTTAAATATCAGTAAAGATTATTTATTGGAAGAAAGAGCTTCTGAACCCATTTTCACAGCATTTGACATGTACAAAAGGTGTAATAATCACCTATCTTTAGTTTGGCATTTACATTTCATAAATCTTCCTTAAAGCCCTAAAGTCGTACAAGGTCACAAGCTGGTGCTACTGTGAATTACAAATACCTCCAATAGCACCAGATTTAGTTTTTTTCCAATACCAAGGTATATGTTAGAAAGAAAACAAGAGGCAGGGCATTACACTAAATTTCTGGATCTAAATAGACTAGTGAAAAAATAAAATATGTAAATTAGCAGATGGTATTCAGAAGGGAAAAATGCTTGCAGAAGCGATATTTTCAAATTTTTGACTTTAATAATCTTTTCCACAACACACGCCGATTGCTGCAACTGCTCAATTATAGCAGATTTATGTCCTAGCTTTTCCAATATTTCCCCTAACCCACCCACCCCCCTTGACTATTGTACACCAAATATTGTGGATATGAGCCCAAATCATCCCAGTAAATCCAGTAAGCAAAGTTAGTGTAATGCACTGGTGTGAAGTTAGATAAAAAATAGTCTTTTTTTCAATCATCATCAAAGTTCTGCTGTAGAAGGAAATTGGCAGCCAGGTTTTCATTCTTCTCGCATGCAAAATAAGCCTGTATCACCAGTCCCTCAGGAAATCCTAGTGCTTTTAGCTGCAAAATAAAAAAGGAAAAAAGCATGGTTACCACATTGTATATGATAGGAAAGAGATATTAAAATGTACATTTAGTAGTGCGTTTTCAAATCTTGCACTCAGTTACCTCCTGTACACGACAGCATACCCAACTTATGACAAATGAGCAAAAGCAACTGAAAATGAAAGCTTCAGATTCTGAAAAAGAAACCTATGGAAGGATGCTACAATTCAGCATCAGAGTTCCCATGTTTCCTTCTGCTTGGTTTCTACTCATTAGGCAGCACATTTTGTTTTCCGCTCCCAAATTTGTATTAGCTTCTATTTTATTAACATATGCAATCACAAAACAAAATAGATGAAGAAAAACATACAACTCAAAACTATTACATTCAACCACATCTTAAACAAACATAAAAACCTAGGGATGCACCGATACTTTTCAGATACCAGTGCCGATAGAATATTCTATTTATAGCTTGAACTATACTTTCCCAGTACCTAGAAAGCTTAGGAAAGCGCCACATTAAACATATAAGCTTTCCATCTGATTGCCCACCTCTATCACATGAAGGATTTTGTCTACGTCCCCATTGATATCATTGTTTTGGTGTACAATACACACAATGTAATATAAATAGTTGTGTCAATCTGTGTCGAAGGAAGCATTTAGGAACCATCTCCATTGCTTGATTCCAGCAATCTCCTGTTATATCCCCTATGTCTTGAGATATCCCTTCTGGCCTATAGATTCCGTACTAGGTCTACTACTCCGTAGCAGCAAAGAGAGCACTTTTGCAATTAGTTTGTTTCCAGTGGTTTGAGTTATTATATGCAATAAAGGGGATGTAAAATGCATTAAATCCGAAACACAATTCTGTGCCTGCAATGCATGGCGCAGTTGTAAATATTGAAAAAAAAGGAGATTGCTTCGGTAATGCTAATTGCCTTTGTAAATCTAGAAAGGATTTAAAAAAGGAGAACTATGAGGCGAGTGAAAATCACTCATCCTCATATTTCAAAGAGACGTGTGACAATGAAACTGTCACACGTCGACTCAATAGATCGGGAAGTGAGCGAACACATACCGTTGCTCGCTCACTTCTCGATCATCCTGCAGAGCAGTGACTGTCAGTCCCTGCAGGGATTCCCCCCCCTCCCCGATCCTCCAGGGCTGACTGGAGGAACGGATGGGGGAGGGGGTGGGTACAGCTGGCTCTGCCTCTAGATAGGCAGAGCCAGCTGTCACTCACGCAGCTGGGTGTCTCTCGACCGTAATGTCAGGATCCGTCCCAGCTGCCTCAGTATACCGCGTGCTGTAGCTCGCGATATACTGAGCTTTGGGTCACGGGAGGACGCTAGTATATGTCCTCCCATGACTCTTAAGAAAACTATGGGGGAAAACACTTACCCCATAGTTCTCTTTTCATTGTTGTACCCTCATAAACTTGGTGTAGGTATTGCAGGCCCCCGGTGGCCCACTTTTCAAATCATTTTAGTTAAAGTTCCTGAAGAGAGGGATTGTGCCATATAGGCATGAACCTTGTATACCCTTTATCCTGCATATATATGGTCAATCAACACTAGATCCTATACAAAAGTTTTTAAAGTAGGGAATTTAGTGCCCCCATTGAAAAAGCCTGCCTCCAATAAGGCCATTAAGAGGATGTTTTGCTTTGTCAATGGGACATTCTTAAATGACTGACAACTAACTCAGCTTGTCAGACTACACCTACCCAAAACCTGAAAGTATAAAAGTACCTTTGTAAAACCCCTAGAAGAGCTTTTCATCAAACCACAAATGTATGAGTGTTGCTTAAAATGAAATGTGTTCAATGTACCTTCTACATACCTAAACAAGTGCTACAATAATGAGACCATATCCGGTCTCTAAACAAATCAAAACTGCAATAAGGGGATAGTTTACACCAGTTCTACAGCCTCAGCATTTGACACTTCCAAGATTGTCAGATGCCTGTTCCCCTGTTGTACAGAACACGAGTGATGTAGGGGACAGAAGATGGAATTACAGCACGTGGTGAAAGACACAGATATCTGATATTCTTGGAAGAGTTGAATGCTCAAAAGACTGATGCACTGGAACAGAGGGAAGGAAGGAGACATGGGCCATCTGAGAGGTGAGCATACCAACTCTTCTATTGCAGAGAACTGGTTTCTTGATTTGTTTAGAGACCCGACTAGGTAATCTTTAATGCACTACTTTTTTGCGGCTCTAGCAACCATTACGTTGCCAAGCCCACAATATAAATTTTAAATGGACCTACAGTCAAACAACGAGGGGAATTTATCAAAATGGGAGCAGACAAAATCTAGAGCAGTTGCCCAGGGCAACCAATCAGCTTCTCTCTTCAGTTTGTTCAGTTAAGGTCTGAAAATGAAAGAGATGCTGATTGGTTGTCATGCACAGCTGCTCCAGTTTTTGATACATTCCCCTCAATGTGTTTTGAGTGTTTACAAGCTTATAAAGTCTTGTAGATGTATTTGTTTTAATTACACAAATTATCATTTTACAAATAATCATTTATTGCAAGAGTGCATTCATGACACTGAAAACCATGTTGGACTTTCTAGTCAATGAAAATGCTTTATGGCAGACTTTTTATCCACCAACTAAAGCAGACTTGTTAGTTCATTTGTCTGCATACATTCCTGATATATCACAATATGCAGCAACGGTGTAAAAAAACCTGTACTCTCCTGGCCGGCCGTTTTTTTACTACGGCCGGCCCGGAGGTAGTTAAAGTGTAAACTCCCCCACCTCACCGTGGTCACTCCAAAGTGTATAGAGCAACTGAGTTCTGTTAGACCTGTACATACAGCCAAGTACATAAAGACTACCATGTAGGTGCCAGGATACACACTTATGCGATTTTTCATACTTACCTGATCAAAAAAAAAATAAGATCTTCAAAAAACACTTTGGATTCCATTTAACTGTCAAGTGCAGAGACCCCATGTGTGCATGTTAACAAGTACATACCCTTTCAATGGCTTCCTTTTCCTGAGGTGTCACTTGAATATAGTTCATATGACCACTTCCAGCCTCAGCTGCAACTCCCCTTCCTCCTCCCTGACTTCCTGATTCTGGGATAGGATCATTTAACATCTGGATGAACTGTTCCTGGTGTTGACTAATTTGCTGTTATAAATGTAAGAAAAAAAGATTAACAGATATGTAAATAGCATTACCAAAATATAATAAAAACAAAACCTATCCCATAAAAAAGGAGGTAAGAATCTGGGAAAACAACACTTAAAAAAAAACAGTATTTGTATGAAGCTATTACAAGTGCTAAAATATGAAGAAAAATAATCATGAAAATACAAATCACTTTATTTTTATAGGAGTTAAAACTTGTGGTTCTTCACAGTTAAAGCGGTTAGGGTCTGGAACACGCTGCCGCAGGAAGTGATTTTAGCTAAGAGTGTGGAATCGTTCAAGAAACTCCTGGACAATTACCTTGGAGACCATAACATTTAGTGGTACAAGTACTCTTAAGAGCAAAATCACACATGGACTCATACACGCACACACCTGCTCAGTGCACACACGTAATAGGTTGGACTTATGTATTTATTCAACCTCAAATACTATGTAACTATGTAAAAAAACTTGTCAGGAATGTCTTTCTTTGACCCCTCTGGGGAGACATTACCTCACTGATGTCCCTGTGAGACCCATGCAAAAAATGGGAGGTGCAGTTGTCACTAGGATATAAAAGGCACAGAAAGCAATAAAGCCTTTAACACTAATTTCTGATTGAAGCATAATGTGTTTCTGCTCATGCCCTCCTATGGAAAGATTTACTACTAATATCCTGGCCCAAGAGAGGAAAGACGACATGTCTCCAAAATAGGCAAATACAGCAAAAAAAAAAGCCAGACATGCATATCTAACCCTTTTCTATTCAAAATACAAAAAAAAAAAAAAACTGTTAAAATCGGACAACTGCATGGAAAGAAGGAAAAGGTATGTGCAGCTACCTTGAGAAATCTTGATGCATGTTAACAATGACTAGACCTAAAGTGTATTTTGGATCATATGGTTTATTAAACAACAAAACTTGAGAAGCACTTGTTTCACTCCAAGCTAAAAAAAAACATGCCTACCTGAATCTCTTCCAATTCATGAATCACCTAAATGTATACCCCTTCGGATCATAACACAATCAACAGGCACGCTATACTAGTACTTACTATTTCTATACACATACATCCGGCACACTATACGAGTACTCTAGCTTTAGGCTCCGCCCTATCTTCTTAACATTAGCCAAGCTGATGTAAGGACATTTACCTAAAAGTCCACAAGGTAATACCAGTGCTTCCATGGGCAGTGTTGACTCTGGCATTTGACAGCTAAATGATAGGGCATAGCATAAGAAGAATGGGCTTCATTTGAACCTGCAGAGAAGCTACTCTTATTTACATAATGAGCAATACTAAAGAGGTATACAAGAATCAGTACTTGCAGGACCTTCAAAAGATTCCTGTACTTTAGCATTACTGTCACCATAAGGGCAGATAGTGTTAAGAGGTTACTAAGTAAAGCTTCGACATCTCTAGTCTACTACTACGATATGATTTTTCCAGGACGTAGAACGGATTTACCTGCAGTAATGAGGGATTTTCCCTCCCAATTTGTTGCAGAAGTGCTGGCAACAGAGAAGGATTCTGTTGAATAATCTGTCTCATCTGCTGAAACTGAGGCTGATTCTGTAAAAAATCAAGGGGATTTCCTAGAAATAAAATAAATGAAAAATACATGTGTCACCTTTTAAGCTGAAAAATAAAATGGTTTGCTGTCACTGCTCTCTTTGCAGTTTAAAGTAAACCCAACATGGCCCACTTTCAACAGTACTGAATTGCAGGCAGCTGTGTGGTGTCTTCAAACTGATCTCTGTCTCACCTTCTTAGATCTAAGGCCCAAGCTGTAAATGGGACCTCAACCCTTCCCACTTCCATCCTATCATTAAACTAGCAAATACCAGAACCTTAAAAGCCTTGGTATTTGACAGAAGGAAAAGGCTTGGTAATTTGGGCAGATGTCAGGGCTCAAAGTACAGCCTTGGCCTAAGATCTAAGGGGGCTTTGCAGCGATTGTCTACAAAGCTAAGACAGTTACTTGCCTTCCCTCCAGCACTGCTGCTACCTTACAAACCTCTTAGGCCGCGTCATGTTCACTTTAAAAAGATACGTTGAAAGTTGTCTGATTCAGGCTATTCTCATAAATATGTTGTTTTCATTGAGTGTCAACCGTTAGATTAAACAATTGGACATATTCGAAAAGCTTCTCCAAATCACTATTGTTTCAAAGTGAACTCATGCAATAGATGCCCGTGTGCTCCTTACCCATTATTCTCTATAGGCTAAACCCAAATGTATGGCTAAGTCAAGTGTTTGTTTTTATGCATTAAGCTAGGACAAAAAGACATCTTGAGATAATCAAAATTGTGCCAGCACTTCCAAATTTTCTTCAATAATCGGGTTTAAGTTACATCCAACATATCACAGTCACTATTTGCCACTTACACTTTTGTCCAAAAAAATGTCAACTTAACTGTGTACACAGTTCAAGGTAGCATCATTTTACCAGTCACATAGATGGGGTAATATTTACCTCCAGAAGGTGTAGAGGGTGTAGTTGTAGTTGCAGTTGCAGTAGCCGTAGCAGTAGCCGTAGCTGTAGCAGCTGCTCCAGCTACTGCCGGCAGCGGTGGGGTAGGATCACTGACTGCTTGGGGAGGATCAGCACCTGCTTGATCTTCTCTGTCCCCTGGGATTCCCTTTAAAACAAAAAGAAAGTTGCTTTACAAAGTATCCTAGTCACAGAATCGTTTTCCATTATTAAAGATACTACATACATTCTGAAATGCAGAAAATACTGCTTTTATAGCCATTTCTTTTGAAGGGATAGGATTACGCTTCCCTAGAAATTAAGTCACTAATTACCTAAAAAAAAAAAAATGATAGCCTCATTATATTACCCTTGTTATGTGTAGTCAGCCACAAGATTCTGACCTGCACAGCAAAATTGCCTCAAGAATATACAACTTCAGTTGACGGCTGAATGGCAAGAAAGCACTGTTCTAACAGAAGAACCTATCAGAGAAATGTCATCCTCATGCTGCCTTCATCACTTGGCGAGATGTTGACCTGGAACAAGCATGTATACATGCTTTTTTGGGTTGATGACTAAGTGAAGTCTATATTCTTCCTGTTCCCAACAATCGCTTACAACTGCGTTGGATCCATCAATCCCCTGGGTGTAAACGATTCATCTAACCAGAAGTATAAGCCTTCTAACAGGCTGGATCTATTTCAGACAAATAGAAATTATATGGGACCAGGATGACAATGTAGTGATAACCTTGCCCCCTTTTTTGTATTGTCCTCTCTTTCTCTACCCTTTGCTCATCTCTCCTCCTTAATTACTCCCTATGATTTCCACACAGGATTAACAAATGCCCATATGGCCCCTAGTCCCCTTCATATGACTTTTCTATAACCCCAATGAATGAAAGATATAAAGAACTTTACAAACCGAGAACAAAGGGAAAACCTAAACTTTCTGATAAGACGTAATCACCTTCCAATTACCTGGGAAACCATGTAAGGGGTCATATGCATTGGTCTGACAGCAAAATGATCACTTTTATGTGCCTTGAGGCTCTAAGGAGCACTTTGACAGCAGGTGGGGGCTACTTCAGATACTGTAATGGTTCCCGGGGGCGTCGCCATTCCGAGTCGCGGACTAGAGTGGAGGCTCCGCCCCCGGGCCACCAACGTCATAAGCCGCAACCTCGCATTTGTCTGGCGTTACAGCAACCGATGCGGACGCCAGACAGCCACCACCTACTTCTACGCTCCAAGAATTAATGAAGGAGGATCCTTAGCAGAGTGTTGCCACTCACGTCTTTGACCTCGCAGGGGACTCCGCTCTAGCGTGCCCCAAAACAAAAGCCCAAGACCTACTCTGGATAGCTAACAGCAAGTATACCCCTCTATGTAGACGGCCTGGACTTTTCATTAGCACTGCAGCATTACTCATATGTGGAAGTTATTATACTGGCACACTAAAGGACTACTCATATGTGGTGAAGATATTATACTGGCACACTAAAGCACTGGTCATATGTGAAGTTAACATATGTACACTCTAGGGGAGTATTGATATGTGATCTTAACATAAGTATCCCTTATTTATCCAAATCGTTAACCTTGAGTAATCCCGTTTATTTTTATATCACTCATACTATAGGCATAGAGAGATTAGTGAGGTTGGAAGATAGACCGAGGTTGGAAGATAGACCGATGATGCACTGAGGTTGTTTGGCAAATTAACCCTTGCCATCACATACTCCTGGGCCCGAGCACGTGGCGTTTAACGTGTCTCCGCAGCTTAGTTCCATCTTCCTATTCATTAGATTACAGATACGCCCTGTCAACTGTTTCACTACCCAGTGACAGCACTGCCACTAGCTACTGCAGAGCTCTCATTTACAAATGCGTTTCCTGTTTATGGTAATAGACACCTTGTAAACCTGCTATTAGACTGGACTTCTAAAATAATGTAGGCAGACAAAATTTACTATAAATAGGTGGTATATTCAGCAAGGAAAACCTCACAGGTAAGTACCGCCATTCAGATCCATTTAATGAAGGCTTGTCACTAAATGTCTGGCTGTCATGCCAATTTAATGCCTTTAATAAAAGTTTTGTAGTGGAAGTGATATGTACCCCCTCCACTAACCGTGCCCAAAAATATGTTTCGGTGCACATCTCATTACTCTGCATTACAGTTACATAGTATTTGGGGTTGAATAAAGACATACGTCCATCAAGTCCAACCCATATAGGTCCACGCATCATCTCATTCTTAGGAATACTTGTATCCCTGAATATTACGGTCCCTCAGGAAATCGTCCAAAAGTTTCTTGAACAATTCTACACTCTTAGCTGAAATCACTGCAATCACTGCCGATGGCAGTGAGTTCCAGACCCTAACCGCTCTAACTGTGAAGAACCCCCTTCGCCCCTTGTGCTTGAATTTTTCCACCAACTTTAGGTGGTGGCCTCTAGTCTTTGTAATGGAGTTAATCTAACATTGTATGCCAATCTCACCCACACACTAAAAGGCTGCGTAAAGATCTACTGACGTATGGGTAGCATGTTACAAAAGTATGGATGCAACTACTGAATGCGCAGTAATGCACAAATTGCAGCTAAAGGGAGCCTGAAGCAGCTAGAGCCCTGCAGAGCCCTGCACTTCTGTTTAGCTGAAAAATTATGAATTGCACCCTGAAGTATGTTTACAATTTTATTTTCTTCCTTTTTTTTGCTTATTCTGGGTAGTAATAGTATAGGAAGGACATAGCCTTAAAAAATGCATACTGGCAATCCCTAATAAACAGTACACCTAGATAAAATAGGAATTAGAAGAAATATGCTTACCATGAGGAGATACTCCACAGCCCTGTCAGGATTGTTAAAGCTGGCTCTAAGAGCAGCAATCACTTGCTCCCGTTCATAGCCCATAGACATAATTTCTGTTACCATATTTTCATAGGACTGACCGGTTACTGAATAGAAAACAGAGAAATTATGCATAGTATATACAAAGTACATACCCAACACCCCACATCAAAGAACAAAAAGATAAGAATTGGGAAAATTGTAGTGAGATTATATAAAACTAACACATATCTAACCCCCAAAAACAACATTTTAATATACTACAGTCCTTAAATGAGGCAGCTGCATTAGCCTTTCTTTCAATCACCATTTATTTTCTCCTGGTAATCCTGAAAATACCGTAGTTACAAAAAAACCAAAAAAAAAAACCAAAGGAGCAGGCTAAAAACGTTATTCTCAAACAAACTTTATTACAACAGTGAATGTGGTTTGATAAACTTCATTACTATACTATAAAATCATTCTAACTTATAAACAACATTTGTTAAGTCTCTGAAGGCATTATCAAATGTTCTGACAAGAAAATCTACCAGTATATACCTAGCTGCTTTACATGGGGGCTTTTGTTTTCCGTTTAGGTCACAGGAAGTAAAAGGGATACTACTTTATTACCTTAGTCTTCTGCTTTTGACCAAACATGGAAGATTTCCATACCTTCCAAAACTCCTGCACGCATACTAGGGATGCACCGATACTTGGCATTTTCATGAGAACTACCAGGGTTGCAGCCGGGACCTGGCTTTGGCACTACACCACTGTCCTGGAATCATTAGTCTGTATTGTTTTAGGAAAACTGTCACATGACACTAAACACAAATGTATCAGTACTTGGACATGTATCAGTACTTGGACATGTATCAGTACTTGGACATGTATCAGTACTTGGACATGTATCAGTACTTGGACAAGTATCAGTACTTGGACAAGTATCAGTACTTGGACAAGTATCAGTACTTGGACTTACAAAACTGGTATCGGTGCATACCTTTATTTATATTTATAAAAAAAAAGTCACATTAAAACAGAGATGTACAAATCCCAGGAGCTCCGTGTGCTCCTTACAAATGACAGCTGCCTCCTAACTTTTGAATTTTTCTCCAGTCTAGTCCTGGAGCTGGAAAAGTATCTGTACTTGTACAAAGTACGGTACTTGGTATCGGTGCATCCCTAACGCATACTATAAATTGAACCTAGCTGTATTCCCAGATTTCAACTGTTATATCAGAACAAGATGGTCGTCAGTCTAGATGATGGCCCTACTAGCCCATTAGCCTATAGCTTGACAAAAAAAAATAATAAACAAGATAAAACATTTACCAAGTGCGCTTGTTGCATCTTCAAAAAGAGATGGTCGAGTAGAGTCACTGGGTACACTGTAGGATAAAAAAACACTTAGGACACGAGAAGCTTTGAATTTCTGTCCTTTTTACATACTGAATAGGCCTAGGACCTCGTACAGGCAAATGTCAAAAAGTAGTAAAGGAGAACTTTGAGGAGAATGAAATGCACTCATCCTCATAGTTAGAGCCGATATGCGACACTCTGCAGCTGTCACACAATGTCTCTTTAGACTGAGAATGGAGCGATCACATACCGCTGATCAAGTTCCCGATCTTCTCCCTGAGAATAGTGACCGTCAGTCATCGCTCCCCTGCTATATGCTGAGTTTTGGGTCACAGGAGGACATTAGCAAATGTCCTCCTGTGACCAGAAAAGAGAAGAGAACTTAAGCCATAAAAGGTTTGGCTATAGTTCTTTTAATGCAGTTTACTGACACTGGTGTAGTCAAATTCTAAATGCAGCTGCTGCCATGTTAAAATGAGCTGGAACTGCAGCAGTGTGCTGAGCTAAGGCTGAAGTGCTTATTCACTACTGCTTGCCTATGATTTATAACATCTTAGCCAAAGGGAGTCAAGTGTGCATATATGTCCGAGATATGTAACTTATGTATGTGTCTATTAATATTAGTAACACATTTACAACGGTGCAAGTGAAAACGGAGGAGTCTGTGCATTGCACACTATAAGCAATGTAACTGTATGGAAAACCCTAACATGTAGGCAGTTATTTTCAATGCAAACATAAAAGAGTAAGTGGAACAAATTATGGAATAAAGTACTAGTAACTAAAGTTAGGGCCATGCATTGGAAGAAATGCTTCAATGCTGTGAGTGCCTACAACAGAGTTCAGGGTTTCCTCTTCTTCTTGCCTGCACTTTTAAAGTGAACCCGTGATCATTTAAGACCTAAACCTTAGGAAGATGGGTAAATAAGGCACAAGAAGATACCCTGTAGGGTTCCCTGGGAGCCCCAAAGCTTAGATAGCTCTAATATGACCAGTTCCTGAAGTTGTGCCTGGCCCTATGTTATCCTGTATATCACTATTGGCCTACATCAAGGACGGGCAGCTTCAGTGACCAACACGTAAGGCCAAATGAAACCTTAAAAACTAAAGTTGATATTCGGATATCAGAGATCTGGACCTTTTGGCCTTGAGGAGCGCTACAGAGTATGTGAACATAGATTTGCAGGCACCTAAGTATATCAGCTTCAAAGTGATACACGATACATAATGTGAGTAAAGCACATAATCTATTTAAAAGCGGCTATTCCTAAAAACCAAGTGAACGGAAACATGTACAAATGTTTTCATGAAAGTCATGTACCTGCCCTCCGTTGATGAAGGGCTCACCGTCTCCTCAGGACTCTCTGTCTTCTCTTCAGGTTTCTCTTCTCTACTAGCTGTGGTTGTCTGGGGCTCAGTAGTAACTAGACTAGGTATAGGGATGTTAGGTAAAGGGAATGGAAGAGACCCAGGAGCATTGGTTCGAGAAATCGGTGTATATGTCTGGGGTGGTGATGAAGGGGCAGCAGTAGCAGTGCTAGCAGGCTGGGTTGGTGCTGGAGCTGGTACGGAGGGGGATGCTGCTGGTTTTGGCTAAACAAAACAAAAAAATGATCACACATTACTTATTAAACATAAGTAAACACAATAAGACAACCCCATCCAGAACTGATGTTTCTGTTCTTGGAAATGCCAAGGCTATAGTTTCCCAAGGTGATCTGTATCCCCTTCCAACTAGGCAAAAGCAATTACAGATACAGTTTCAGTTTATTTATTCTACAACATGAGACTCCATTCAGGAGCCTGACACCACCATTTGCTACTGCAATGGCTTCTGCAGGTGGAAAGAATTGGACATTCTAGTGGAGACCTCTGGAGTCCCCAAGAGATGTAAGAATGCAACATGTGATTAAATATGCCAGCAGCAAAGCTGAAACATCAATTTGGGATGGAATTGTCTTAAAAACTGTTTCCCAAAATAGTTTGATTAGAAATTTATAAGTATCGTATTAGTATACTATACTTTATAAGTATAGTAAAAATGTATGAGTTATGACGTATACAAAATCTGTTATGAAGCAAATTAACTTTCTGCGACGGAAAGTAGCCATTCCCCATCTGTAGAAATTATGTGTGTAAGTTAAGGGATGATACTTGGTCAAGGGCAGTGATGCTGGAACTGTTCTTTTGCCGAGGGAAATCACTGCCCTATAAGCATAATACAATATAGTTTCCGTCAGAGGCTTCAGAGGCAGGGGGTTTTCTTTTGTAGAGATAGCTTTTTAGGCCGCATTCACACTGCTAAGAGCCGATCCGTACAGATCCGTGCTGCGTGCACGGCCGTATCGAGCCGCTCCCGGGAAAGGACAGGTGCTGCGTGTGATTGTATGCAGCAGCCTGTTCTTCTCTATGGGAGTACGTGGCCGTACGCTCACCCGAGATGGATGTACAGATGGATCCTGTCTGCGTCCAAGCAGACACCCGCACGGATGTACAGTTCGGGTGAGCGCACGGCGGCGTAAGGCCCGTTTCCTCCCATAGGAGAAGAACAGGCTGCTGCTTACAATCACACGCAGCACCTGTCCTTCCCGGGAGCGGCTCGATACGGCTATGCACGCCGCACGGATCTGTACGGGCCGGCTCTTGTAAATGGGGCCTTAAGGTCGTCCTATAGACTTGTGTATTACAGTAACATGGGGTAAAACACACATTTAACCATGTGTTACTTTATAGCAACACAGTGCTGTGCTCTAAAAGAGTTAGCCCAGGGAAAGACGAATATGCTAAAGGATTTAGAATTCAGTACAAAATGGGAGACCGCAAATATGCTTTACATTTAAACCTGGTAAGGCTTTAAAATATTTGCATGCCCAGGTCCTTGTCTCTTTGTGCAACATCAATAATGTAACAATGGAGTAGATTGTGGTTCATATGGGGAACACAGAAATCAAACATTTCTGAACAAAGCTGTATCATTATATAGATTTCAATATGCTAGAAACATTGAGAATACTGAAATTCTACATTCGGATGCCAACTAGAAAGATGATGATTAGATTGTTTCAAGACACAACCTTCTGAAAGGAAATAAAAATAGGTTTGACCTGAAAACTTGTCCAAAAATATCTAATGAAGTACATTTTAACATACAGGAAACAGGTGCAAACTGTGGTGAAATTCTCAAAAAAAAAACAAAAAATAGAGTTGAATCAGCCGAGAGGAGAGATGTGAGACCATGTACTAGGTAAAAAAGATACCAATCACGACAGGCAAGTCATTCATATAGGAAATGTACTGCATTTCTTTAGACTATAATGATTCAGCAATATTTAAAAGGAGATGCATTAGGAGAGTAAAATGTACTCTTCCTAATAGCTTGAGCCGGTGTGTCACACATGCTGGCACTATCGCTCAAGAACTGTGATTACAAACTGCTCATCACTTAGCTCACAGCTTCTCCCTGCAGAGACTGAGTCATCACTACTCCCTACAGGGATTCCCTCCTTCCCGCTCTCTGTTCTCCCAGAGCTCAATGGAGGGACAGTCAGGTGAGGGATGGGCACAGCTGGCTCTAGAGAGGTAATGCCAACTGTCAATCAGGTAGCGAGCTGGAACCCAACAATATTGTTAGGATTTTAACAGCCTCTAGTGCGGCTCTGCACTGTCAGCATATAACGGGAAATAGCCTGCTTGGGTTACAGTAGGACATTAGTAGATCTACTCCTGTGACCCAAAAGAGAACTATAGCCAGGAGAAAAAAAAAAAAGGCTGGCTATTAGTTCACTTTTAAGATAATAAAAGAAACATTGTTTTATTTTACCAACAGACAAATAGGAGACGAATTTGTTTTCTCTGTCTAATATGAAGGGAGAGAACCTTGACAGTTGCACACAAAAAATATTGGACGAAAGAAAAACAAGAATACACAAATATTTGAAGATGTTTCTGAAAATATAAAACTTGTGAAATATGAGCAGGTCAAGTAAAAGAATAGGAAAAGATTTAGGCATAAAATTGGGCTCGTGGGGGAAGGGGTGTCAAGTCCCAAAAAACTAAAAAAAGGTTGCACTTACTTTCGTAACCATAACCACTACAAAGTTCTTCTCGTCAATTTTGTATTCTTTAAGTGCTGTATCATCATTAAGGATTTTACCTGCAAAAATGTGAAGACCAACATTACATTTTACTCCATGGCCTAGAAAACACGTCCGACATAAAATGTTAGTAATCTTTCCACTTTAAAAACGTACTATATTACTAATTGTAATTATTACTACAAGAGGAGTAGTCTGATGAGCAGCCCATCACATGGTTCCCGTGCTGGAACATAGTTCCAGAGCTTATTTTTCTTCTTCTTCAAATCAATGTTAACACCACAGTCCCAGGGATTTAGCCTCCCCTTTTGATACACTGGCAGTGGAAATGACACGTTATGCCATATAAAAGAAAAATACTGCAGGTTAAATACAAGGCAGCCACACAGGCAACTGAATTTTCAATAACATTAAAGGTCCATTCACACCATCTGTGTTGGAGCTGCACCGGCTGTTTCCAGGGCAGCCCCAAAGGAAGACAATGCAACCTGCTTTGTTTGTCATGGACAGGCTCGGTTCCCACAACACAGTGGTGTGCGCTGAAAAAACGTACTGCATGCTGTACTTGAGTTCAACTGCCTCACATCCCACTGTGCCTGTACAACTGAATAAAATAGCATAAACAGCGTGGAACCCGCACACCAGACTGTGCGATTAGCGCAGCATCTGGTGTGAATGTGAAGGGCCCTTCAGGATTTTTTTTGGACTGAAGCATGTAAATGACCTTAATGAGTGTTAAAAGGCAAGTTCACGTTCTCACAAAACGTGAGGCAATTAACTTACCGACAACACCCCACCAACTACCCTGGTCCCCACTGCACATACCAGTGATGCCCTGTGAGCACCCCTGCCAGCTAATGTACAGTCACAGCCCAGAGGTAGGTCATGCGCATAATGCTTGCAAATATTGAGTGCTCATTTGTCAGCAGGGTCACATGTCAGCATGGTCTCACACAATGAAAAGCGCTTGTAGGGCCCGGTCCCCAGCTCAGAAGTGCTCCTCATTGGTCAGCCTGGTCATGTGACTGTGCTGACCAATAAGCGCTGGCCATTTGAGAGTAAAATGCTCATTACATATTGTGGGGCAGGGGGAGGGGGGAAATCACACAGGTATGCAGCGGGGTCTGGGAGTGACATACTGGTTACCCCCCTTTGTAGTCAATATCTCAAAAGTGGTTGAGAGAGAGAGAGACTGTGCAAATGCACAAAGCCTCTAGAAATTAATCAACAAATCTTTATATTTAATATAGTAACAAAAGAAACAGAAAACCTTGTAAGATGTGCAAGTTATGTAAACAAAATAACTAAATGATGAATGCTGTAATAACTCCTCAATATAAGCTCACAATGATAACACTATACTTTTCATCTAATCAGGAAAAAACCACAGGGTGCTTGAGAGCTCCTCTCCGACAAGAACAACTGAGAACACAAACTGTAGGTTACAGGTTGGAAAGGTCTTACCGCGTAGTTATTTTTTAATACAACGCCCAGGATTTACCTGCATAAATTAATTTTTGGCCACCAACAGGAAACTGATCCTTCCCCTTCTCAAGTTCAATTTTCTCTTTTAAAGCTTTGACCTGTCAAACAAGCCACAAAAAGAATGTTGTTGTCATACTGTTGAACATTTATTTATACAATTTGCAAATATATAACATGTATAGTTTATGAACATATGAAAAGCATTAGTACATCTGGTTCATAATGCAGTCATTGTTTACACTAGGAGAGTATGGGGCTCTCTTGTCATTATACCAGTATACACAACCTCATACCAAGGAAATATGGGAGCCGCCTTGTTCTTGAAAGTGCATGTTCCAGGGTTGCCATTTAGTGCAGGGCTGGAAAAATCCCAGGAGCCAGGTAGCCAATACGACTTAAAAATTACAACTGGCGCCTACATATTGAGTTTTTTTCTAGTTGTCAATTAACCCGGCTCCTAAAACTGACTGGGCCAGTGTGTGGAGCACCCTCCATTCTACAGAAACCGATTTTTCAATTGACTTTTGCCGAAGGAGCAGGTTTAAACAGTGACCGCAGCCAATCAGCAGGCCATGGGTAGTATGAACCCAGAAGTGCTCAAATTTGAACACTTCTGGGTTCAAAGCTAGCAAACCCAGTCGCTCTCACTGATCAAGCACACCCTATGCTAGTTTGAAAAGAGCGCAGAGGTTATATCAGAGGTGTAAAAGACCCCTGATGTTTCCTAAGAGAGAACTTGCCACTTGCACTAAATGTTTACAAAATGTACAAGTTTAATACATTAGAAAACACCTCACATTTTTCTTTGCAGATTAAAAGAGAATTTATACGTGTCTTCTACTTAAAAATAAAAAATATCTGTCTACTGGTAACTTTTTTTTATCTTTACACTGACTGTGGCACATGTGCAGTAGTCCAAGTCCGTTCCCGGCATCTGTAAGATCCAAAGAATGGAGCTGGTTGCAGAGGTAATGTACTTTCAGTGGCGAAATAAGGAGATGCCAAATCCAGAAGATGATGGCAGATGTTGAGTGAGGGAGCCCAAACTCTCAGCTGGCAGAAAGGTCTGAATGAGGGAGCCCAGTCACCAAGGTTGCATGATTCTGTGCAACTTTTTGGCACTGTATGGAGCCAAAACGGGGAGAATCAATTCAGACCACAAAAGCCACAGCATAGTTGGCAAAACAGTTCACCATACAGCTGGGGATAGTAAAAGCACTGAGGAAGTGCTGAGTAAGTAGCTTCTATTACATCAAAGCATCTGGACATATGGGGGGGGAGGGAGACAACAGGCAGCCCTTCCAGCAAAAATGTTATATGTGATGTGAAAAGACAGATATAAAAAAGCAATGGGTGGGTAATCTGCCTCATTGGTATAATCTCACAACAATTTTCAGTTTTGACAAGTGGTGCTGCAGTGCTCATGTGCCAACAAGTGTCATGTTGATATGCAGACTTGACAGAGTGATAGATGAACTCATCAGCCTGTGCTTATTCATTGCAAAGTGACAGTCTGTAAACCCACTCCCAAATCCAACAAAATTAAAATATTTAGCTATCTTCTGCCACTCCTACCTCAGCTGGCAGAAAATAGCCAGTGCTTCAGGGTATGTGGGAGAATGTGACCTCCACCAATACATCACTTGGGTCTAGTGGCCAATTGCTAGGCCTGAGCACGGTCACATAATGGAGAGATTGACGTCATTGCTCCCTCTACGCTCCAACACCAGGTATTTTGGTGCAACCGAAAAATCATGGAAAGTTGCATCAAATGTACTTAGGCTGCCAAGCCCATGATAATTGTGGCCTTCAGGGGGTGACACTAGTGGGTTTAAGCCACCTTGAAGAAATTAATGGTCTTTAAAAGCAGTCACAAACATCCTATAAATGTGAACAAATGTGCACCCATGCACCGAAATGTAAAAGAAAACAAGTGTTTGAGGCCCCACTTGTGTAGACACTATACTATGCATTTAAAGTAGACCTATCATTAGCTGTACTTTTTAAGATAGCTGTATACATACCAAATCATGCATAAGTGTACTATTTACAGGTATTAAGCTGTGGACCTATTGTTTTGCCAATCATTTTGTCATTACTTAGGACTAGCAAATGTGTGCCAGTTAATGAACAGGTTAATCTAAGCTGGGAAGTTTTCAGTCTTGATATTCATCACTGCCCAATCAGACTATATTTTAGCTGGACACATTTGGTAAAGTGTGCAATCTCACTAAATTGATTATGGAAGACTTACCTTGCAAAGTGCCCTTCTTCTCCAGCGATGCAACAACCACGTGTTTTCCCTTCATGCTCAGTTGCTTCCATCTTAACCTGTTCGTCCTGATTCTGCATCTTTGGCCATATTGATTGGTTAGGCCAGGGTGACATAACTCCTGTGTATACCCACAAACTTACTTTGTCCTGTCATAAAACATGCCAAGACTGTGCACGCACAGCGTAGTGTGCACTTGGCAAAAAGAAAAAGCTGACTGGCAGGTAGAAGTATTTATAACAGATAAGACAAAGAGTGTCCTCTGTCATAAAAAGCCTGTCAGCTTTTCTAAAAAGTGACCTTAGTTGTGCTTTAGGGCAGGTTCGCACCATTTTCCGGCCCCGATCTGGTCCGGAAAATAGTGTGAACCTGCCCACAGTTCCAGTGCATTCCAGACCAGACAAAATGAGACAAGCAGTATTTTTCTGGTCTGGTACGGACTGCGCTGGTGTGAACAGAGGCCAGAAATAGCATAGGGATACACTAGGATGCATTTCGGATCCGAAAACAATCTGGTCTGGAGATAATCTGGATGTAGGGTGAATTGGCCATCAAGCATGTAATGTGTAATTAATTGGTATATGGTATAAATTAGTTTGACAATCCAAGGTGCAAAACGGAAGCTGGTCCACGGCAGTGAAAGAATGAATATCTGCTTGATAGTTTGTTTCCACTATGACACTGTTCAGAGACAAAATGACACAGAAAAGTATAATATTGTGGATAATGGGGAGAGCACAGAATGCCAGACAATGGAACACAAAAGTGGTGATAAGGTAGCAGCCACAGAGCTCAGAATTGAAGCAGCGTACAAAGCAGAGGGGATCACAGAACGTGTAGTGCTGAATGCAGCAGATAGCATTGTGGAGAGCACATAACAGGCGCAGTGTGGAGAGTGGCAGAAGACCTGCAAGAGAAGCTGCTGTGAAAAGAGCTGTGGCAAAGTGCAGTGCAGACAATGGAGGACAACCTACCAGAGACCGTAGCTTAGTGGTGTGAACAACAGGGGAGAAAGATCTGAGTGTATGACGTATACCCAAAGTCTTTGGATTACGTTTTTTGGCCATACCCCATATTCCTAAGTCCGCAGAACCTACATCTACTAAGACCGGAAAATCACTTGGCCCTGACGGCTTCACAACTCAATATTATAAGGTTAAAAGTAAACCCAGTGTGAGAGAAATATCAGGAGCTGTCAATGCTGACCTTTTGAAGATGTCAGACTTATCCTAACCCACTAGTATTAACATTGAGTTTCTAACTCATGCAGATCATGGGGACATTGGAAGAAAGTCAGCAGTACTTAACTGCAAACTTGTTCCAGATCAGTGACTGCAAGCACTGAAACATGAGGGTCAGCATAACAGCCATAAAACTAGCACCGTCAGGAGAGAGCTTAGCAATGATAACCTCCACGCTTCTCACAAGACCTTTTCTTCTCTGCATTTCCCTGCACAGCCGATATCTTACTGTAGTGCATAAAAAGTGACGTGTCACTTTGTGACATTTCAATAAAGCTAAAAAAAAAAGGAAAAGAAAAACCCAAAAAAGGTAAACAGTCCCTTGCGTTGTAAAAACGCAAGGTACAGTCCCCAGTACTGGCACACATACACCAGCCTGCACACTAATATGGATCGTTTTGGTGTGACCATCTGTATTTTGCCTATGTAGGAAATGTACACTCCAAAAACACAGCTGGTGTCAGCTTTTAGAGGGGAAACAAATGCACCTGGGCCAAGCTTTTCCCAACATATCTGATCATTGCTACCCCAAACAGGGTTTATATAACTGGCACACATTAGAAGTGACTGAGAACTGCCAGTTTGGGAGACTTATCTAATGTTTTGTGACAGGAGTGGACACTTCCCTTCCAGGGACCACTATATGTCCAGCTGTACTCCGTCACTCTCTTATATACTGCTTGACCTTTAACAGATAATTGTAAGGTGTATGGGCACCTTAATAAACTCTGGCCCCTGCCCCACAGCAGTCACCACCCCCAATGCAATCATAGCTGTAAGAGGCAGCAGCCCATGGCCCTAGTACTGCACAGCCCGAACACATGGCAATCAGTCACGGTTTGGAAGCATAGGCAAAATCCCCAGAAAAGGCTGCACCTGTCGCAGTCAGTATAGGAAAGTTAGGGCCAGGCCTCACAAAATGAGCAGGCCCTAGGAACCAGCCCCTCAGCACTGAAAAGACACTGTGCCCTGATCCATGTAAAGTGCCTGGAAACACTGGAGTACTGAGAGCCTGCACCCATCACTTACAAAGGCCACTGGCACCCTCCCCCACTCCCGTCCAGAGAGGCCCAGGAAACACAGGGCGGTGGCAGAGATTACGCGCCTGCCACCATGTAGTGACCCCCATGTACAAATACATATACCACACCAAGGGGGGGGGGGTCTGGGAATGGAGATACAGGTATCTACACACCATCAGCAGCCCACCCTCTAACAAGGGGAGAAGACAGGCTGACATACTTACTGATCCTCGAAGGATACATGGAGGGTACCCCTTCCCAGGACAAATCGTCTCTCTGCCAGAGCCAGCATGTTGTCAGCCGAGGGAGGGAGGGGTGGGGCACTGACAAACCAGCTCAGAAGCCAGTCGGTCATACCCCAGTCGGGTGGGGGACCCCATGAGGAACACTCACAGGTTGCCCTCAAATCCAGGATAGTTCTGACGCAGGCAACCCTGCACGTAGCCAAGGATCTGCTCAATGTCTAAGCTGGGCGGACTACAAGGATCTATATTATCCAGCCTGTCGCCTAGCTTGAAGGTCTGAGAGACAGAAGAAAATAAGATTCCCTGCACAAAAACCAAGGACTAAGAATACCAGCAGGGAGCTTAGGTTCTAGCTCCTTGCCACTAGGCAAAAAAAAAAACTGAGCTGCTTGTAGCTGTTAGGGGGTTTGGCCATCATCAGGGGCCACCCCTAGGCTGTGCTCTTGTTTTTTGTACCTAGTATCCTAATCATGAAGGTGGCACTATACCCAACTAGTCAAGATCTGAAGATTCACTGTGCCCTTCAAGATAAGAAAACATTGTCAAACAGCGACTGCATCCATTCAGAGGCAGCCACTGTTCGAGTATTCTGATAGCCATGCAACAGGTGTCAGGTAAGACGCCTCCATCCTTGCTGTTTAGTGTGGATGGGGAAAATGTACTTATTTTCTCTTGTACAGCCCTGTGGTCTGAACATGAGACACCCACACTAGCCTAAGGGCCTATTTACACCAGCATGCTGCTGTAATGCGCACGTTATCATTCAAAGTGAATGGCTCCACAAGGCAGGGTATCTTGTGTATTGTACAAAGATGCAGCCTTCCCCACCTTTGCAGGTGCTGGGGTACATTTCAGCCCATTTAACACAATGGGGTGGGGGGGGGGGATATATCAAACCAGGAGCAGACAAAATCTGGAGCAGTTGCATGTGGCAACCAATCAGCTTCTCTCTTCAGTTTGTTCAGGTAAGCTTTGAAAATGAAAGGTGGATGCTGATTGGTTACCATGCACAGCTGCTCCAGATTTTGATAAATTCCCTTCAATGTGTACATTGCAGCTCATGGCACCGTGGTGCAAACTGCCACCAACTCATTCAACATAAAGACCTTCTTAGCAAAGCTGCCCACAACCGCCCCAATGTGACTGATACCACATCAAGACCAGAGAGGGTTTCTGTAAGTGGTGCCAGAAACAAGTCTAAACAATTCCTACAGACAGATTGAGGGGAATTTACTAAGGCTGGTGCAGAATATTGAGCAACAGTGCATGGCAACCAGCTTTCATTTACAAAGTTAAATGAGAAATATGGGGAGAGGGACATACACTCATCCCCATAATTAGAGCCAGCATAGGACACTGCAGGGGTCACACGTCGGCTCTATAGATTGAGAACCAAGTGATCACATACCACTGATCGCTCAGTTCACAAGCTTCTCCCTGCAGTCACCACTACCCGCAGGGATTCCCCCCCTCCATACCACCAGGGCTAAAGGAACGGATGGAGGGGGTTGGACGCAGCTGGCTCTGCCTCCAGGAAGCGATCAGGCAGCAAGAAGTATCCCAAAAATATCATTGGGCTCTTTACCGGCTGCAATGCAGCTCTGCGTTGTCAGCATAGTACAAGCAATAACCAGCTATATGCCGAGTTTTGGGTCACATGAGGACATTAATAAATATCCTCCTGTGACCCTAAAAAGAACTATGGCCAGGAAAGGTTTGGCTATAGGTCTCTAGGAACAATCTGAAGAGAGAAGCTGATTGGTTACTACCCACAGCTGCTCCAGTTTTAGTAACTTCCCCCGTCTTTTGATGTCATCTACCCCACCATCAGCTTTGGCCTTCCCACAGGCACGCTACTACTAGCACAACTCTTCCTGTAAAAATAATGGTGAAGGTAAACAGGTTTTGGAAAGGTGTGTTCTTCCTCACAAACATATGGGGGGCACTGCTTCATTACATGCATGGACCAAACCACTCCTAATAATATTGATGTAACACATCATTGCTACATAATGCTTGTAAGCCAGGGAAAGTCAGCAGACACGCGGTTACTGACAAACCGCCCGCTCGGCATGATGGGACGGTGAATCCCGCGACAGCTGCAGGGACACCTGTATGGAAGCGTGCGCGAGACCTCCGAGCGCGTGCCCAGCTTTGGACGGACAAGCAATTCCCACGTGATGCACCGCGACGCCCCATAGTCACGTGCTAAGCCTCCAACATAAGCGCGAGCACGCGCCTTCACCCTTGTCAATGCACGCACGAGTATTGTAAATAACCCCGGCGGCCTAGCGGCTTGCTCCAGGGTGGCCGGGCCACCTCGTAAAGCAATGCTACAAGCATGCCGCGCGTACAGCGTGGCCCTATGGGCCTGCAGCTACCAATTCTCCTCTGTTGCACAATTGCACAAGGCACAGTAGACGTGGCCTACCGTTTCTTCGCAGTCAATATCTATTTTGAAGGTTTGCTGCTGCAGCGTCTTCATCGTGATCTGCATGGCGGCTACGTTGTGTGACCCTCCCGGTCCCGCTGTGTCCTGGGTGCAGTGTCAAGATCCGGTGTGCTCCGGCCTCTAATTAGCGGGTCGGATCGCCCGCTCTGTCAGCCTCTGCTCCCCGGTTTTGTCTCAGCGCGCCACTGCGATGCTGCCTTCGTGGAGAGCGCTGCGATAGTAACCCAGTTGTAAGCTCCTGTAGCTGTCGCCTATTTCGCTGTCTCATCAGCACGGCCTGTCCGCCGCCATCATGACTCCGCTCACTGCCAGGCGCGCGTGCGCTACGACGCATGCGCACGCTCCATAGGAAGGGAGGGGCCATGTCCGAGAGTGGGCGGGGTAGTGGGATGACTGGACAAAAGTAGTGCGGGTAGACGGCAGGAATTCTAGAGCGTCTAGACTAGTGTGCGGGATCGGGTGTCAGCTTAGTCACAGCGGCTCCAATGTTCTAGGGTGTTAGACTGGGTGACGGCTGACTTCTGGGCTGCGTGAGGCAGCAAAATAATCGCCAGCCTTCATTATGTGTTACTTTCTGCCTATGCATGCCTTGGAGGGAGTGTGCACATAGTGGGAAGTGGTTATACTATGAGGGGAATTTATCAAACGACCAGACAAGATCTGGAGCAGCTGTGCATTGGGACCAATCAGCATCCACCTTTCATTTTCAATCCCTAACTGAACAAACTGAAGAGAGAAGCTGATTGGTCGCCAAAGGCAACTGATCCAGAGGCTTCTCCAGTTTTGATAAATTCCCCCCTATGTGCTTTAGTGTGAATGCTGTAACTAGCTGTAGACTATAAAGCAGTGACGTAAAAAAAACATTTCACCATCTCTTATAAGGCCTCATTCACACGGGTAACGGCCGGCCCGTACAGATCCGTGCATGGCCGCATCGGGCAGCTCCCGGGAAGGACAGGTGCTGATTGTGATTATACGCAACAGCCTGTCCTCTATGGAAATACGTGGCCGTACACGCCCCTACGGTCGCCCGTCCGTGCGGGTGTCTGCTTGGTCGCAGGCAGGATCCATCCTGTCGGAGTACGGACACCCATACGGACGAGCAGGTTTGGTGACCGTAGGGGGGCGTACGGCCGCATACTCCTATAGGAAGGGCAGGCTGCTGCGTATAATCACACGCAGCACCTGTTCTTTCCAGGAGCGCCCCGATACACCCGAGCATGCAGCACGGATCTGTACGGGCCGGCCGTTATCCGTGTGAATGAGGGCTTAAAGTGCAAGTAAAGCAGGAAAAAGGGCTTTTAGGAGGAGCTTTTAACCATAATGTGCTATGGCGGACTTGCCTGCCAAAATGATCCCCTCCAGCACAATGCTTCTCCCTTATTCAATCTTGCTTGTCGCACTCCTTGCCGAATATCCAGAGTAATGGGAGGTGCTCGCAGTGACTGCGGATGGCGCCCCCAGTATCAGCAAACATGTATAGATGTCGCCAGCACACCAAAAATCCTTCCAGGATCACAAAATGTCCCTTCATCAGGGTCCCTTCATCAGGCTCAGCCTTGACCTGTCAATGCTAAGCCTGATGAAGGGACCCTGTGCGACCCTGAAAGCACTTGTTTTACGACTCTTCAATAAATGAACATTTTATAATCCTGAAAAGATTTTTGGTATGCTGGTGACATCTATACACATTTGCTCCTCCCTTACCAGCGCATACTTCTTCCTTCTGGCCTTTTTCTACGATCTGAGTCTTCGGCTGCCTGATTGGCTGGGCCTCTGTGGCATAACTCCTGCACATGCAAACAGGAGTTACTTCATCTCAGCTAGAATCCTGCCAAGACTGAACACTGAGCGGCACATGCGCGGCTCAGTGTATAGGAACAATAAAAAGTGCTCATAGGCAGGAGGTAGCTTCTATGACAGATGACACTCACACAGCCTCTCTTCTGTCATAGAAGGCTGTCTGTCAGCAATATATGTTTGTTTGTTTTTTTTAAAGACACTTCCGCTTTTAAAGTGACACTAAACTCAGGAGTTAAATCTTAAACATACATTCAAGGTACCTCAACTATTAGCAATAATGTATCTTATTTGTGTATCACTCAGCTGTAGATCCTCAATTCATCCCTGAATTGGTGCTGACACTGTCCTTCCTTCTGGAGGGTGGCTACTTTTGTTCCCTATAGTCCATGTGTGTGTTGTAAAGTAGGATTGTCTTTAACCCAGAGTTTCATGACACCTGCATTACATTTCTTGATGTATTGGTTAGCATCTCTGACGTTCGCTTACACACATCTTTATTTAGTAAATCAACAGACCGTAATACCATACTCCATTACCGTAGTTCTCATCCGAGACATTTACTTGACAATTTACCTATATCACAATTCATGCGTGTATTACGCATTTGCTCTGACCAGGACGTATGTCGCACACAACTTGGCATCATGTATGCCAAATTCCAACAGAGGGGCTACCCAGACACAGTACTTGACCAGGCCCTAGATCAGACATTTGCAAAAATGTCGACTACAATACATAAGGACAAGTCACTTGGCGACAGACTACCCTTTGTACAGAAATTTAATGGGACATCACAACTCATATATAGGTCCTCAGTCAAGAAGCTCAATACTCTCTGGGCAGGCAAACACCTTCCCACACAAATCAAGACGGTACCCTTACAGGTATACCGCCGTAGCAAAAGTCTCAGATACCATTTGGTCCAGGCGGACCCTAGGCCCAAATATTCGAAATTAACGTTTCAATTGTCTCATCGTACTGGTTGTTTCAAATGCTTTAATTGTAATGTGTGCAGCGCGTTCATTACAGGTGACACCTTGCCACATCCACATAGTGGTAAAAAAAAATTGCATCAAGGGTTATCTGAACTGCATTACAGAAACATGCGTTTATCTTCTGAAATGTCCATGGGGCCTTTAAACGACACTTTCAGAAGCATCGCAGCGATATTAGGGTTGCTATCAACACTGCGTCTAAAGGGGAAACCCCAGACCCCAACAAACCTGTGACATTGCATTATGCCCTGTGTCGACACCAGACCCACGTGTTACGTGGTATGGTGATCGAACATGTCACCGTATCGCACAGGGGTGGGGATCATGATAAACTTTTACTCCAACGTGAGGCTTATTGGATTTACACGTTAGATACTGTCAGGCCCAAGGGGCTTAATACGAACCTTGCCCTCACATGCTTTCTCCCTGAACAGTAGCTAAGAAAGTTCGGACGTGCTCTTTTCCATGTTGTAATTATGTTAATATTGATCCCGATGGGTAATTTTTTCCACAGCGGGGACCTTTTAATCGGAAAGAAAGTTTTATAACACGGTTCTTTTATCCCCTGAAGTCTGCATATCTATTCCCCCACCACGGCAGGTGTTTCAGCCATCGTCTGTACTGATGTACAATTTTTTTCATTGACCAATACGTTACCTGTAGCTATCCTACACACTAGGGGGGGGTCATGATTATAATGCGCTGTCATAACCATCGAACTGTGACATAACACTCACACACAGGAGTCATATTTCTCCTTTGTGCACACATCTATCTGACTGAAGTTAGCATGTAACTGGAATGCATGTATTCACACGCATTGTGGCCCAGCAGCATTAAGCCCTCTCACAGACTTGATTTTTATTACTGGTTACTCCTTGTGTCGTTTATTTTATATCATGCCACCAAGTTATCAAGTCTACTGTGTTATTTTGTGCTTTTTGATCTGATGTTTTTTTTTCTCCTGTATTTACCTGGTGTATCCCTGCTGAGTTCAAGGCAACCTGATGACGAGGCTGATCCCACACCCACACCGGTGTGTGCAGCCAATCCCAGGAATGCCTCTGACATCTATGGGGGTGTGGCTTACACCCTGCCGTGCTCACACCATAGCTTGGGCTTGCTTTCGGTGTCTCCGCCGCATCCATGGGAACTGGTGACACTGCAGATTCCACACACCTGTGGGTGTGTGCGGCCAATCCCAGCGTGGACTGTATTTACAGCCAAACCCTACATTTTGGATGCAATATTATTATGATTATACAGGATTTATATAGCGCCAATAGTTTGCACAGCGCTTTACAATATAAGGAAGACATTACAGTCACAATACAATTTAAGACAAGATGGTAAGGAGGGCCCTGCCCGTGAGGGCTTACAATCTAAAAGGTCTGACATGTCTGATAGCGATAGGCCACTCCCCCACTGCTCAAAATGGCTTCTCTGCCTGTATGTGTGCTCGGCTGGCACCTGGCCTATCTGGCCTATTTATATCTGTTCAATTTCTCTGTACATGCATATCTGTCTAGGCACTGCTTGCTATAGACTATGCATTCATCACCTGATTACCACACTGGCAATTGTTTTACTATGGTGGGATTGTGATGTCATTAGGATGTCACATGATCACGGCAGACTAGGGGATTGGCTCATTTCCACAGTATGGTGTATATATGTATATGGTTTCACTTGTGTTTGCATCACTCATTTTGCCTGATGAAGGGGATCCTGTGAGACCCCGAAACGTTACTTTTTTGATGCATTGTGCTATGTTTCATGCGTCAATAAACAGACACCATTGATTCATTACTTGAAATGCTGGTATCCATGTTATCCTGTTGTAAAGTAGACACCGCTCCAAGCTCACTCCCATGATGGACTACAATCTCACGTTTAGTTTACTAATTCGTATTGAAGTTTTAGTCTCGGGAGCAAGGTTAGAGTTGTGGCTACTTTACAACACACACAGGGACAATGGGGAACAAATGTAGTCGCCCTCCAGAAGGAAGGACAGTGTCAGCACCAATTCAGAGATGATTTGAGGATCTACAGCTGAGTGATACACCAATAAGATACATTTTTGTTAATAAGGTTACTCAAACTCATTGGGTACAGCTGGCTCTGCCTCTAGATAGGCAGAGCCCGCTGTCACTGATGCAGCTGGGTGGATCTCGACAGTAATGTCGGGATCCGTCCTGGCTGCGGCGGTCTCAGTATACCGCGAGCTGTAGCTCAACAGCATGTCCCAGCAACCAAATATGTCATGGAGCTACCAACCCCAGCTGAAGATCTGACATTAGGGCAGTGTGCTGCTAACCTCTGCCCAGTACCGACAGCAGCTCCGGAGCTCCTGGGAGCTGGGGCAGACAGCCCCTCTCCCCAACGGCAGGCCGATGCAGTGGAACTCCTGATCCCAGCTGAACAGCTGGCATCAGGACAGAGCACTACGGGCCTCTGCCTACAACAACCCGTGGCCCTGTAATCTCTGTGGCCTTGCCACCATATTTGCATTTTACTTGCAGAAGAGCTGGCAACAGGGCAGAGTGCTGCTAGCCTCTGCCCCTC